ATCGGAGTGAATAACTTAAAGGGCGGCAGTCGTCGCGCCGTATACAACGCGTGTAAAATACATTGTTTATTTACATGAAATTCGAACACGCGCTGCGCGACGACCACCGCGCTTTAATAATTTACCCCTTGCCCTCTGGTATTGTATTTTTAATGTATATTTTATGCCTTCTAAACATTATTTATCATCGGAATTTTACTTTCCCACTTTGTGTCATATATTCACATTGTTATAACTGTTTGTTTATTAGGAATTATTAGACAGAAATTAAAAGACAATCTCCGATGAGAAAGTGCCAAAGAATTTATTTGGTTGTACAAACATAAGACTTGTAACATTCGACTATTATTAACATTCAGGTTGCAGAATAAACTGCAGAACTCAATGTTAAAGCTATTGGCAACACCAAATAAAAGAGCTCGATTTGATAAGCAAGACATGATTTTTCTTGTACTCAGCGTTGCACCTATGTATGTTGAATATGTTTCGTGTGAAAGAGGACATTCGTCCATGTCATATTAATGTGCGCGTGCGTATAATTGCACCAAACCTGTCACCCTATTGAAATCAAAATGTAAAACGTCGACCCAACTGTCTGGACTGCTGAATTCAGTGTTATATTATAACACTTTTAAATACTTAAAAATTACATCCAGGAAAAGCTTTTACATGTATTTGTTTCCAAGGTTTTACAACGCTGTGATATGTCCGTCAGTTCAGTTTGGTCTATGTTGTGCCTTTGGTCTGTCTGTCATTCATAGTTTTGGGTTGTGTTCCTGAACATTTGAATTTTAATTATGACACTATTTGTGCATCATTGGAAGTTATTTGTACTATACTAGTGATTATAAATTGATATACTGTAAAGTAGAAGAATAGAACAAGCGTTCGAAAGTTTTACTTAAATGTGTGTTGTATGTGACCTTACGACAGGACACAACATACCACATTCTGAGCTATGTCCGTGTCCTTGAAACTAGTGACAACAAAACTTTGCCGGCCATAATACACTTATTGATGGCATTTGATAAGCACATTTAAAACAAGTTAAGCAATAAAAATAAGGGAAAAAATAGTCACAACATTTTTCAGATAAGTATAGTGATATTCATTTAAGTTGCAACAAATATTATTAGTGACCAATTATTGAGAAATATTTACTTGAATTACGTTATTTTTCAGTAGATATTTGTATGTTACGTTTCACAGTTACAATGTCGGTAGGTTTTATCGAAAGCGAGGCTACATACAGAGCGTACAGATTTGTGACGCAAATTATATCAGTTTTCAGTTGTTTGTTGTACCGGATACTGGAAAGAAATTACTTTTGTTTCCTTTTAAACCTTTACGCTCAATTGGTGTTTATCCTTCGGAATAAGGTCTTGAATTTCCAGTGTCTCGTTTTGCAATCGGAAAATGACCCCCGAAACGTCCTCGAACGATATAAAGAAAAGGCATTTAGAACAAAGTTCGTGAATAAACTTTTTGCGAAAACGTATCATGTTAAGGATTCTAAATAACATATGATTTTATATGTGGCAAACATTTTGTGCTCTTTTTCCCAATTACAACTTGAACGCGGAACTCACACGTGAAAAAGAATAATCTTCGAGGATCTAAATGTGATTAAATACTAGTTTCGTCATAGATGTTAGTTTGCGCAACGATGACTGCGCATGACTGCGTGACGAGTCGTCTAGAAAACTACATTCATGCCGCATTAATGACTAACTCAAATCTTTACTTTGATGTCGAGATAAAATTCAAAAGAAGTTTATAGATTTCATTACGGGTAATTACTAGCGCTACTTTGTTGTAAAATCCGACGTTACTACTTTTAATAAACTCGGATCAGGCGGGGATATAGTCTGGCGAAGCAGAAGTCTGTGAAGAGAAAAAAAATAGATTCTACAATCCACTTGCAACACAGAATGAATAGAATGTATAATTCGTGTCAAGGCAGCGTTGTTTAAAAATTGACAATCTGTGTTCTCGGACTAAATCTGTGTGTATACGTGTGGACGCCCAAGTAAGCCCTCATGGTTGTCACACAATGTCATCCACTGGTATCTTCATTTGGGTTGGGAGGGATTCATACACGTATACTTGTAGATTTGAAATTACCACAGGGTCATGTTCACCATTAACCCATGGCTTCAAAGTTATATTTTGGCTTTGCTCCTTTTGCTGCATTTTAAGTTTCAGTGTATTAAACAGATGGAGATTTCACTATCAAACCAAGAATGTGCACTTTTGAATTTATACCACTGAGTGAACAGTCGGCTCCGGGAGTCCACCTACTCCCTGGTACGAACCAAACACGTTAACCAATGTATCATCGCCCAGGTTCTGAAAATACCTGAAATGAAGTGACCAAAGCCAATGTGTAAATGTGAACACACGTAGTATATTTAAACATCGGTTGCTTATTTGGATAATAGCATGTCTTGAGAGCAACAAATTTCTCAACGCAGTTGTGGCTCAAAGCAAACTTTGCACCATCTTGCATGGCATCTTCAGTTCACTGTTTATTTCATGTTAATTGAAATACTGCACAACTCTATTCCCTAGTTTTTTTATGCAGGCGTTAAATACGCGACAATTTTACCGTACGCGTAATTTCACCCAGTTAGCTGCAGAGATCGGTTTTACATGGATCATCTGAATAAAAAAAAGTATCAGTTATCTACTATCGCTTATGCTTCAACGTTGAACTGTTACGAACACATATTCAAGTGCCACACATTTCACGAAAGCACTAATATAAACCGGAAATGTGTTCTCTCATACTTAAAAAAAATTCTGGTAATTCTTCTGTAGTTCGATAAAATTTATCTAAAATTTATTTAATAGAAATTTACACAGTTTTCAATTGTTACAATTACTCCACAAAATTGAGATTACTGCATTTTATAAAATTGGATTACATAATTAATTTTCAATTGTTACAATTACTCCGGAAATATGAAAGAGGAAATCAAATAATTGAGGATTAATTAAAGGTCGAAAGATATATTTATATATTATCATCAACAGCTGAATAACACATTTATGTAAATATTTTATGCATTTTTAAAAATTTTTAATGACATAAGATCGAAACAGAGATTTGACGGGCGCTGCTACAGGTAGAGTAGAAAAAACTTATCACATACTATCATGTGTTACTTTCTGTAATAGTGAATTAGTATTCCCATTCAGAAAAAAAACGATTCGTTGAGATAATACTATAGGAAGAAAATGGTACTATTTGCATATTGGAAGAAAAAAACAAGAACAAAACACACTCAAATAAATACCGAAAGCAGCACGTGCCCTTCTCTAAAGTAAACTAAATTGTGTTCACTCATCATCCGGGCACACCATCCATGCAAACGTGAAAAGAACTAAACATCCCGGTGGCTTCAGAAAAACAAACTACAAAATCGTCAAATTGTTCATTCTATTTGTATCCGTGTTAGTGCATTAATGACAGCATTGATTGTAGTAGGACGCCCACAACAACCATAGCGAATGTGTGTTACATTTTCCACACGGAACAGTCAAACAGTCCTCGTTCTAGTTCATCGTCTCTACTTACAAGCATTGGGGTGAATTGTGACTGCGGCAAGCATTCAGAGCGTTCTATTTTGCATGACCGAGCAGCGATATTGGCGAAAAATCAGCTTGATGGTATCACGAACTGCGTTTCGTTATACGAACTACTACAGGAAATGAATTATCACGATAAAATATTTGCATCCAAATATCAATTAAGTGCAAGCGTCAAATAACACGTCGAGATGATCAGCATTACGCCTTTAACAACAAACGTACAAACAAAAGTACAGACGTGTGATCTCCGTCTTATAACAACCTTATTTTATTGACTAAGAATAAATATCTCTATTGGAATTGACGAGGGGTGTGTCTTCATCCCTCGCCCCTTCCCATAGCTTTTCCCCCCTCTCCATCTCTTCCAAAGCTAATCACGCTTGTTGGAGCTACACAAAGCAAATAGAATATAATATGAGAAAAAGATATGGGGCAAACTCTTCATCTTCATATTAAACTATTTATATTCGCACAATCCTGAAATCCATCTGTCGCACTATATCACGTTCCGGTGTTTACGTAAGAGAGAGGAGTATTGATCATTACGTGTGCGTTTTTTTAGAGTTGGGTGGGAATTAGTATTGTAGGCGGACTTATTACGAAAGAAGAAAAAACACAGCCACGATAATATCAACACTAGATCAGTGTATGCTCTTGTCGTGCTGTTATCGAGGCGCAGCTGATTCTACGATGTCTTACACTGCTCAAATAAACTAAGGTCCAAGTAATACCGTAGTCATGGTTAATTCTCTAGTATTTGCTTCATACTTGATCAAAGTGAGCATGGCATAATTCTGTTGGGCGGAGATATATAAAATTGAGGTATTCACGATGTGCTAAGTGTGTATAAAGTGTTCTTTGTGACCCCCTACCCCAGTCTACAGGGTTATTTGCTTTTCTTCGGCATCTGCGTACAACGCAGTTCCACTTGGTATTGTCCCTCCCTCGCATTCAATCACTCCTACCCCCAATCTCCATAAACGTATCCTCATTATAAAATGATCCCTTCGCAAAACAATGGATAGAATTTTTCATAATTTTACAAATTATGCTGGTTTAGAATTACTTTGTTTTTTTAAAAAGAAAATGACAAGAAATAACGTCACTAAATAGTATACTGTCAAGCTGTCGAATTGAAAAAGAGGCGCTGAAACACGCCCGTTATCATAGCAACTGCTCTTCGTCATCATCGTCATCATCATTTGTAACAGCACACACATATTCACACACTGGCGTGCCTATATCTATAAGTGGGTGGATTCTCACTATTCGGCTGTTCGTCTTCGGCTCTTCACTCAAGGCGCTCGTCTCAGCTGATTTGATTGACGAGTTTGCTATTCGACCATGTCAGCCGCCTTCATTATTTAAATGAGCAGATTCACGTTGGTGACATTATAAGCTCGTCTCAGGCCGTGACGCTGCCATCGAAGTACTAGCAGGAACCCGACTAAGTTATCAGGGTTAGGTAGAGAAAAGTACGAAAATCATCCGCTGCTACTCCACAACACTGAGACAAATACTTATATCAACACCAGGCGTCCAAGATGCTGTTTCTCTCGGTCTTGGTGACTGTGATGGCTTTGTGTTCTACTACTGCTACGAATGGCGAGAAGCTACAGACCGTCAGGCAACCTGCAGACGCGGTAAGTACTCCCGCAAGATGGGGCAGGCAACTAATTTGCTTCGTCGATTTTAATCTTTATCTAATATGTTTGCAAGTGAATCAGCCAAAGGCAGTGATACAGCAACGATAACGCCCGTCGTTGGCATAATAACGTTCATGTTAGATACGGTATGAAAGTGAATGGTAACTTGATCACTTCGCTTCTGAAGAGGGAAATCAGACCAAAACTGTTCTAGAATCAATTCTTGTAACTGATACCATTCGGGTCGAAAATCAATTTGAGTGAACAAGCTGTACCGTGGATTACATTCACTATTATTCGCCATTTAAGATCTTTAATTTGACCCCTTAAGTATACCATTGATTGATCGATACCTCTTCTTATAGGGACGCGAATAGTAAATGCATCACTACAAAGGCAGAGTTCTTATAAAGTCCAGCAGAAATGGCCACGAATCATTACAAATCGAAGCCTCGTTTCATATAAAATACTTATCGATTTTAAATAGGATTCGGGGAAAGCTTGCGGCGAAGAGAAAATACAAACTCAGTCAAATATGTTTTATGTTTCCCACCTTACACCGGTGTGTGTGTGTGTGGGGGGGGGGGGGTAAATGACAGGTTTCATATTGTAAGTGTATTATCCAATGAATACATTACATACGTATTGTGTCGAGTTGTGTCACATGCTAATAATCCGTTGACGATTGGGACCCATTGCGATAATGACTATAATTATCACATATAATAGAATAAGAATATAATTATACCTTGTTATGGGACAAGTGACACGAATAATTATGTTCGTCGCGAATTGATTAGACACTGAAAGTTCAAGTTAATCTCTGAAAAAAATGATTCACATCCGTGTAGGCACTTGACTGTGAAGATGAAATGCGACTTTGTATGCATATTCCAATGCACCAGGTCCCGACAATCAGAGATAGAGATTTAAAAAAAAAACGTCGTGTTGTCAGGGCTGCAAGTATTCAGACTTGAAGAAGTTAATAACACGCCACGGAGTATGCGTATTGATTCAATCTCAACGTGAAATAGGCTGACATATGCGTGATTCAATCAGCAATGACAGTTATTCTCTGAATAGCATCAACCCGAATTTATCACAAGGGGTGATAACATGTAACACTTTCCCACAGTCAGTCAGGATCACTCACACCTTGCGTTGGATTGATTCCAACTCACAATGAAGGAATATTGTTTTTAAAGATGCAATTACTTTAAGAGGCCCGTTTACAGAAGATGGACTGACAATCCTCGGCAACGATTTTGATTCGATGAGACGTCAAAACCGATTAGGTACGTGCACCCGCGCCGCAGCTACTGTGGAAATATTCATTTTCCTTTGTGGCGAGCAACTCTGAAAATATTATTAAAATGTCAGAACATTTTAATCAAATTTTAACAATTCGAATACATATGACACTCATTTGTTGAATGCTGAAAAAAATCACAATCTAGGCATGCACCACAAACACCCGCCAGGTCAGGTTTAATATATTAATGGGAATCAAAATACACAAGCGACAATCGCTTATCGCATAACATAGTCAAGGCGACGCAGATCTATCATGGCAAAACGCTTCATATATATATATATGTATGCTTGCATAATGCCAAACTTGGAACTGTTAGAAATCTGTGCACGACGTCATCCAAACTGACAACGACTCTCAAATTTACCTCCCTGGCCTAAGTGAAAAAAAAACAATATTGACGAATCGTGCCATCTGAACAATAATCAATAACCAGGCTAATCCACGTTCTGATCCATCACAAATAAATTCTTTTGATAAAGTAGGTAGAAGCTGATTAATCAGTCAAAGTATGTCTTATTAAGACCGTTTAATACGTTAAATGTGTTCCACAGGATGCAGATTTTTCGGTGGTCGAGAATGGGGTGTATCAGTGCTCAAACACAACGTCCCATATTCACATCGTGTGCACCCATGTTCTGATTTCGGATTGGGCATGCATTTGCATGAAATAATGATATCGCTATTCACGTAGATTTGGAACTTCGTGGTTCATATTGTGACAGCCATCCACAATCCTCACAATCGCATGTTGACGTCTTATGTAACGAACAACCTTCTAAATTATTAACTGTCAAAATCAGCTCATCTCCGAGTGACGCACCAATTCAGTGTCGTCAACGTATGCTTAAGCTTGCGGGTAAAATAAACAATAAGCAATTCGGTTTATACAAAATAAAATGACAACTATGGGTTATCCCGTAAATCAATGAGAAATTGGCAAGGAAAACGCATTACCACATTGCTGATAAATCATTTCTCAACACGCAAACTGTAAGTGATTAATCTATCACATCTCCCCCCTATTCGATTGCAATAATAGATCAATCCATACTCACTGCACTAACCATGTTCCACATATTATTCCAAATACACATTCATTGCACTGCACTCTAACTACGTGCCAAACAGTCAAACTTGTTATTGGGAATTAGCTTCATTTTGCTTCGAAACCAAAAGGTAATATCAATTTGTAAAGGCACCGCCAACAAGCAGAAAAATGGAAACAGTAAACGAATATTGTGGGTCTTCGTCGCTTAGAGTAGAGTGATTTATTTAACGTGACGGGGAATTTGTCTTCAACATTGCAATACTAAGTTTAACCCGACAAATGAGTTGTTCGTTTTTGCGGGATATTTCTCGCTCAAAAATAGTCATAAAACAATTGCCTCATTTGATGTCCTACATGGCGAATGGTAAATTGAATACGCAGTGCGTTTTTCAATGTAGCCAAAACTGATTTCAATACATCATTTAATATATACAATATAAACATCAATGTTATCTTCTTTGAGTTCCCCCACCGTGAAATTTCACCCCGAGACAAATAAGTGGTTAATCGAAAATATTCTACGAAGTTCCTACGTGCTTTTCACCGTCGGTACATTGGAATGGACGATGAAGATACTATCTTGTCATAGCCAGCAGCGTTATGCGACGCGATAATAAGAAGTACAGTCAAAGTCCCTCTAGCAAAATGCAAAACCAGGAAGTAAATGATTGATAAAAGCATGCAGTTTCACCTAATAAATATCCGAAGTAGTTGATTCTATTCCCACTCACCCTGTTTAATTAGTACGAGCTTTTGTTTTTAATTGATTTTAACAACAGAGGCACAAAACAGACTCCCTGGCGCAGTGCAATGAGGATATAGTTCTCGTTATTGTTTCACTTACCGTTACCGTAGTAACTTTGCCACAGGTTATACCGGCATTGACATTGACTGATCAATTCTGGAATCACGTGACAACCCAGTCGGCGAATGAATGACAGAATCTAATTGGTTATTAGCTTAGCTACTATTATGCCTCACATAAAATTGCACACTACGTGTTGATTAGTATTCAATACCACGATGTACTAGTGTGTTATCAAGTTGAAACCAATTGACGGAACACTGCGAGGAAAGAAAAAAACAATTTGATAATGATGATGATGATGGGTATCATGACCAGATGAAAAAGAATTTTCAGAGCAGGCGAGCTAATGAGGATATAATTTACGCCAACCAACGGACAACAAATTACACTGCGACTACGGACGTTAGAGTGAGACAATGATAATGACATTGCCGCATGTATATAATACGTACGGCAATTTAAAAATATGAAATAATTATTCTTGATAAAATGAAAATCATAAATAAATACGATTACCCGGCGAATTTTTAACATTAAGAACGGAACAAGGAAAAACAACAGAGTTGCAATGAAAGAATCCGCTCTGTCACAAACCACGGAATGTCACGTGACCAGGATGAATAGGCCGAAGATGTAGGATTTGTAGAAAAGTTGCGTTGTCCATTATTCGAAATCGGGGTCGAACGAAAATGTCATGAGTTTGATATTATTTAAGGTAGAATAGAGGACGAGAAGACAGTTGTTGTTGTTGTTGCGCTTTGTTAAAATTCACGGCAGAGACAGCAGGTTCTCAAAATTATGTGAATGAACAGCGACAGATGCATGTATACATGCATCCTTCTATATTGATTTTATTGTTTCTCGATTGTATACATTGCTGCGTCACAAAATGTAGTCAAATAAATTGATTTGTAAGAATCCATCATTCAATTTGTACAATGCGTTCTTATTATTTTCATCTGTAGTAAAATATCGGATATTTTAAACTCAAACGTAATCTCATACATATTATTAGGCATGAGGTGGTCATTTAACTTAGTTACGTATACAATCGCGAGGATGGTTTTTCATTTGTTTGAAAATCGCAGAAAACAAATATCCTTGTCAATGGACAAACAAATCTACGTGTATATAAAGGACAATTTGTATACTAAACACCCTAAAATCAGTAAATCCCAAAATACTAAAATTTTTAAATCTCTTTATAATCGACACTAAAAGCACAAATTTCACCAAATTCGTATGTGTGTTAACAATAATCCTAAGTTACGAATACGACATAATGACGTAACGGGGCTCATAAATGATTGGCCATGCGTCGCTGACAACGCTCCTGATTAGATTCGTATATGCTAGAACTCTTGTTATTTTTTTACGACTGAACTCTCTCTTCATAAAAGAAACCATCTTTTTACGAGTTCCACTAAACTCTGGCATCTATCACATGGTATTAACATTAACTGAGAAGTAAGGATTAATGTCAACTTAAATCTAACTTGAAATGTATCGTACATTGTGTACATTGCATTTACAAGAACATTTGGCGCTGAAATACCATATCGCACACTCTGCGTGCGTGCCTGATTGCGCCCTTATTATAATATAACAGCTACAGATTGGAACTGTCGATGTATCATATACTTATCCCCGAAGCAAATGCCATCTTGCAAAGATATCGCTGCTTTAAACGCTGTTTAAAAACGTCCCAACTGAGGTGCATATCGATCGAATGGAAACATTTTTTTCTTGAACAATTATAAATGTCTAAAGTCAAGCAGTGAACGAGGATCGCTGTACTGGCCACTGACTCGATACAACCAGAGCAA